TATATATATATATATATATACATATATTTGGATTACACTAATTGCATATAATTGTTTTTCCATGTAGCCAACAAAGGAAATATGATAGAAGGTGTTTTGTGCATTTGCATTGCATTGCATTATTTTGTGAAACACAGTCTTTTTAGAACTCATAAAATATTATTTATTTTGCAATAGCACCACGGCTGAATATCAGAGCCTGAAATACTGCAATAAAATCTTTGTGAATGTGTATAGGCTTTGAGCTGAGTGTGTGTATAGTCTACATGTACAGTGTGCAAGTCTGTGTGTATGGAGGAGTGGTTTGTTTTGGGAGTTGATAAGTTTAAGAGTAGTGCTGAGAGGTCAGAACGAGACACTCGGGTGGGGGTGGGGGTGGTGTCGGTTAATTGATGACCGCTCTTTGTCGGCCTGTAATATGCCAAGAGTTACTGATAACAACGATACAGCCATTAGAAGACCGAAATAAAACACCGGATCAGTACATCCAAAGCGGAAGGGATTGAGAAAGGAAGAGGGAAAAAAAACCCTACCAACGACCTTTCATTAAACCCTGCCAGCAAGAATTAATAAAATCTACCTACAACATCCTGGGAATCGATGAAGAAAAAAAATTTAAGAAACCGAAAGAAAAAAAAAAAACACATTAATGGGAGATGGTGGAGTAATAAATGATGGTGAGGGCCCTAGGGTGCGTTTCAAATGTTTATTAGTCCAAAACCCTCTGCTTCTAATTCTGGGTCCAGATAATCGCTGTACTTTAATTTATTTCTTGGCTGGCCCTCTTTTGGAGCCCTCCCAACATGCATGCTTTGCTTTTCATGCTCAAACATATTTTTTTCGCCCCCTTCCTTTTTCATCCACTCTCTCTCTGAGGCGGCACTCTTGATTTTTTGTATGTGGTGTGTGTATATGATTTTAAAAAGCTTCCCTATATGGACGTGTTAGAGGAAAGGAGATTTGAAGGGCCCTGAGACTGAGGGGTTTGGATGTTTTACTAGACAAAGATGGTTACTGGTCACTTCCACGTGTGACGTTAATGTGTCAGATAGCAGAGAGCGAAGAAAGAGAAGGTTGTAAAGACAGAATAGAGGGGTAATTGTGATGTCTCCTAAGTGAGAAGGAGTGTTTGAGTGCGTGTGAGTGCTCTGTTGCTGACTGAAATGGCGGAGAGCGTTCTGAGGTGCTTCTATCTCAGATCACTTATCTTATTGGTTTGAACTGAAAGTGGGCGTGAACATCTTTGATCTGGCATTAATGTTGTATAAGTTGACTTTTTTTCATATTTTCAGCAGTTATATGCTCCTGTTATGTGCCTGCAGATTTCATGTGAGCCTGAATTCACAAATAAAAGCATCTGTACACACACACACACACACACACACACAGATGCACACACACACGCACGCACGCATGCACACACACACACACCCATGATCTTGCTCTTCAGAGCAGAGACAAAGACTTTTGCTTGTCAGCCCCATATGCTGATGTCACTGCAGTATGAATTACATTGTTACCAGAAGTTCCACTTTTTATTGACCATTTATCTTCTCACCACCATCATAGCCAGCAAACTTTCAGAGATATTTATTAGAGCCTTTGGCATCTAGTGTGGGAATGTATAAAATTATTCATTGTGCTGTTAAATATAGAATTAAACTTACAAAAAAAAGTAAAGTAAAATACTATGAACAAAATGATAAAAGACCAAATATATTTTCTTATCAGCTGACTTAAAGAACATTTTTGTCTACGATGAATATGTGTGCCATAATTATCTGATTCCTCTCTGTCCTCATAAATGAATTAGGAGCAGCTGATCAACTGCATTATTGGTAATTAAATTCTTAATTAAAAATCGCTGCGGTTCAATGACTAGCACAAATCCTAAAATAGAAAAACACTGACATCACTAATATGGCAAACTGTTACAAGAGGTTTGTTGAGGTAATTTGATTATTGTATTGGCATGGGAGTCTGAGGGAAGAAAAAAAAACCCTGAAGGATCGTTTACGTTTGCAGTCAGACAGAGTGAATTTGTTAAATTATCAATGAGGATATATTAGTATGTCATGCTCCAATGCACGTATCAGCAGCTATGTCCTGCATAAATCAGCCAGTATTATTTAATATAAAAAATAATCATAAATTAAGGAGTCAACGTACAGATCAAATTATTACAATGCGGTTCATATAGAACAAAAGGATGGCCTCTAATAAATTAAATAAGCAGTAGTTACATCATACATATATGGATGTCTAACACAGTGATGTTATTGTGGGGCAAAATTTATTTATGATAAAGAGCATTAATGACGGCTCACAGCACAGATGAAATCTGAATTTGCCTGAAAAATCTGAAGAATCCATAGCCCTGTTTTGTATGTTAATATATAATAGCCTCCTCCACAAGCAACAACAGCTACAACTGATGTGTCTCCTTTCATTTTTACCCGTAATCTCTATTCCTATTTAAACAAACACTGTGCGACACTGTCCACAACTTCCTCTGCAACAGATTTAAACATCCACCAGACTGTGAACCCCTCGCCTAAGAAACAGCCCTAATCAGTGTGCATATGTCTTTGCATGTTTGTAGAATGAGTCACTCAGTGTTGAAAGAGTGTGAGTGAGTGTGTGTGTGTGTGTGTGTGTGTGTGTGTGTGTGTGTGTGTGTGTGTGTGTGTGTGTGTGTGTGTGTGTGTGTGTGTGTGTGTGTGTGTGTGTGTGTGTGTGTGTCCGTGAGAGCGGATGCAGGAATCGAGTCAAGCGGAAAAGTAACACTTGGCTCAACAGGGGGGATTTTGGCTTGAACCTGCTACAACCGAAGATGAATTTGCAGTGTTTTCACATGTGCAAATGTGTGCATTTGTGCTTCTGTATGTTTGCACATGTCTCTGCTGGCTTCATAGGTGACCTCAGTCAGTTCCAGGTGACCCGTGTGTCTGTTTCTGTGTGCGTGTGTGTCATGCATGTGACCGGAGACAGTGTGAGGCGGAGGAGGCGACACACCAGTATTACAAAAAATTTGTGAGGATAATTGTAACACACAGCATAGTGGCTGTAGTAACAGAAATTCTGCATTACCTTTTTTTATTAAAGGTATTACCTATTTGTTTCTAAAATGCACATTATGTGGAGCAGCCTAAAAAAAAAGAAAATATATACACTACTAGTCAAGTATACACTACTAGTCTAGTTACAAGTTTTTAAACGGTGAGATTTTTAATGTTTTTTAAAGAAGTCTCTTGTGCTCACCAAGCCTGCATTTATTTACATTTACATTACATTTAGTCTTTTGCAGACGCTTTTATTCAAAGCGACTTACAATTGGGGAATACATAAAGCGATTCTTCTTAAAAAGGCAAACAGACACAGGAAGTGCTCGTAATACCAAGTTTCAGGCATTTTGTTCAAATAAGTACAAGCTAGAATAGAAAATAGTTATTTTAAATTTGATTCAAAGTACATTAGTATATTGCAAGTACAACGTATATTTTATATTTGATCCAAAGTACAGTAAAAACTGTAACATTTTGAAATATTTTACTATTTAAAATAACTATTTGTGTGCGTGTGTGTCATGCATGTGACCGGAGACAGTGTGAGGCGGAGGAGGCGACACACCAGTATTACAAAAAATTTGTGAGGATAATTGTAACACACAGCATAGTGGCTGTAGTAACAGAAATTCTGCATTACCTTTTTTTATTAAAGGTATTACCTATTTGTTTCTAAAATGCACATTATGTGGAGCAGCCTAAAAAAAAAGAAAATATATACACTACTAGTCAAGTATACACTACTAGTCTAGTTACAAGTTTTTAAACGGTGAGATTTTTAATGTTTTTTAAAGAAGTCTCTTGTGCTCACCAAGCCTGCATTTATTTACATTTACATTACATTTAGTCTTTTGCAGACGCTTTTATTCAAAGCGACTTACAATTGGGGAATACATAAAGCGATTCTTCTTAAAAAGGCAAACAGACACAGGAAGTGCTCGTAATACCAAGTTTCAGGCATTTTGTTCAAATAAGTACAAGCTAGAATAGAAAATAGTTATTTTAAATTTGATTCAAAGTACATTAGTATATTGCAAGTACAACGTATATTTTATATT